AAAAATGAGAGTCAAATCAATCATTTTCCTTAATAGTTTTCTATATTAACTTGCTTTTGGAAAACTATTCAGTTCGAATTTGGTTAAGTTCGACATCGTTATTCAAGAAGTAGTTCCACTTCGCTTAGGTTGGGTTCGATTTCGGTCTCTGACTCATACTCAAACCCAAGTGACTTTCTAACTCTGTCAGAAAGGTTAAATGTTCTGTTGGTAAACGACAAGTTGAGCTAAAGAAGAGGTCTCCACCTCAGGTGCATGTTTCTCTAAGATTGTTGGGTTTATCCACTGTGCAGTCAAGCAGGATGTGAAGGTCTCTCTTGTCTCATGGGCGCTATAACCATTTTATCGCAGTGAACGAAATCTTCGGATTGAGTTCACCTGAAAAAGGATTACGGCAATTTATTTTTGTATTAAAATAAAAAGAAAACAAATTATAATCTCTTTTTTATATTTTCAATGTTTCCATTGACAACTGTAATATGTGGATGAGTCGGAGGGAGAGCTATTTTCCAGACTTCAAGTGCTCGTTCGTAATATGAAAGTGCCTTCGAGTACTCGCCCATTTTATCATAGACTTCACCGATGTTGTTGTAAGATTTACCCAAGTCCGGATGATTCTTAGCAAGTGCTTTCTGGCTGACTTCCAGGTCTTTTTCATAATATGAAAGTGCTTTCAAATACTCGTCCATACATTTATAGACTGAACCAATGTTGTTATACGATTGAGCGAAGTCCAGATGATTCGAAGGTAGTGCTACTTTCCGGATTTCAAGTGATTGCTCGTACAACGAAAGTGCTTTGTCGTACTCGCCCATGTTTTTAAACACTACACCAATGTTGTTATAGGAAGTAGCCAAGTCGGGATGATTCGGAGGGAGAGCTACTTTTCGGATATCAAGTGATCGTTGGTAAGATGAAAGTGCTTTCAAGTACTCGCCCATGTTATTATATACCAGACCAATATTGTTGTAGGAGTCAGCCAAGTCGGGATGATTTGAAGGGCGACCTATTTTTCGAATTTCAAGTGCTCGTTCATACGATGACAGTGCTTCCACGTATTGTCCCATGTTATCAAGAACCACACCGATGTTCTCGTAAGAAGTAGCTAAGTCAGGATGATTTGGAGAGAGAGTTGCTTTTTGGACTTCAAGTGCTCGTCCGTACCATGTAAGTGCTTTCGAGTATTCGCCCATATTATCAAGCACCATACCGATGTTGTTATAAGAAGCAGCCAAGTCGGGGTGATTCGAAGGAAGAGCCATTTTACGAATTTCAAGCGAACGTTCGTAGCATGAAAGTGCTTTCGAGTACTCACCCATATTATCATACACTGAACCGATGTTATTGTAGGAAGAAGCCAAGTCGGGATGATTTGGAGGGAGCGTTTTCTGGCTGATCTTCAAATCTTTTTCATAATATGAAAGTGCTTTCAAGTACTCTCCCATGTTAGAATACACCATACCGATGTTGTTGTAGGATGTAGCCAAGTTTGGATGATTTGGAGGGAGAGCTATTTTTTGGATTTCAAGTGATCGTTCGTACGACGAAAGGGCTTTCGAGTACTCCCCCATGTTAGAATACACCATACCGATGTTGTTGAAAGAAGCAGCCAAGTCGGGATGATTCGGAGGGAGAGCTATTTTGCGGATATCAAGTGCTCGTTCGTAGGATGAAAGGGCTTTCGAGTACTCCCCCATGTTAGAATACACCATACCGATGTTGTTGTAGGATGTAGCCAAGTTTGGATGATTTGGAGGGAGAGCTATTCTTTGTATTTCAAGTGATCGTTCGTACGACGAAAGGGCTTTCGAGTACTCGCCCATGTTAGAATACACCATACCGATGTTGTTAAAAGAAGCAGCCAAGTCGGGATGATTCGGAGGAAGAGCTATTTTTTGGATTTCAAGCGATCGTTCGTAGGATGAAAGGGCTTTCGAGTACTCCCCCATGTTAGAAT